GGGACAGGAACATGGGGTCTGGAGTCCTGAGGGTGAACCCAGCACAGCCAAAGCCTGGCCAGTCTTAGCATTATGTTTTTCTTCCTTTGTCACTTTTATTCAAGTGTGAAAGGGCAGTGTTGGGGGTGATTTTTCCAGATCAGGTAGGACTATGGATGTGGTCTGCTTTATAGACATCAAATACTTGCCAATGCTGGTGATTTGGGAATGCGTCGTGTGCTAGAAGGAAGGTAGGTTGGGCATCTTGACGTTCGCATTCCAGAACGTTCATTACTCAGTGTCTCCCTCCCAGGAGGGCAGAGGGGCTGAAGAACACCGAGTGCCCGCACACGGCAGGGTTCAGCGGTTCATTGCCTGGCCCGTATCCCGGGTGGGGGGCACTTGAGGCAGCTGGTGGGGAGATTGGACATGGGGTGAGGATGCACCTCAGGTGGAGAGATGGGGCTTTCCTATGGCGACCTCTGCGCATTCCACAGCCACCCCCTCCCTCCTTCCCTCCCTCCCTCCATTCCTCCTGCTGCTGCTGCCAGCCTCCGCGCCGTCTTCCTTCCGGGCTGCCCACGCCCCTGGCTGAGTGATCTCTGTCCTCTCCCTTCCGCTGACCACCCATCCTTCCCTTAGGCCTTCGACCCACTCTGCCAGGGGTTTTCCAAATGTGCGTGTGCATGTGTCTGTCTCCCTATATGTGTGTATCTGTGCATGGGGGTGTGTGCACCCGTGTGATTCCCCCCGCCCTTAGTGACCTCACCACCTGCACTGCCCAGGGCCCAGTGCGGGCCCACCCATTCAAGAAGTCAGCCCTTGTTGAATTCAAGAAAAGAACCTGCCAGTTCACCTTGGTCCTCATCACCATGTTCCCATCGCAGAGGATTGCTGTGGCAATTGTCTAGGGCCACCTCTGTAAGCCACCCGACAGCGCCGGCAGATGCAAGTGGAGTACCCTGGACAGCAGAGCAGCAGCCCAGCATCTGTTCCTGCTGCTTCACCTTAGTCCAGGTTGTAGGCTGAGCTCAGTAAAAGCTGACAGGGGTGGTGTGATTTTCCCACAAAAAATCTTGACAAAGTGATAACATTTTCTTACTTGAAATGTGCCAGACATTGTATCTGGCACTTGTCTCAACAGGCAGGCATACAAAAAGGTATGTCCAATCAGTGTACCCATTTCACGTCTGAGGAAACTGAGGCCCCAGGAGGCCCAGTAATTTCTGCAAACTTGGAAGCTGGGAAGTGGATCTGCTGGCTTTCCAGCTCAGACTTCCTGCCTCAAATGCCGCCTCCGGGACACCATTTTCCAGGGACAGGTTTCGCCCTGGGGTAGGGAGCCAGCATTATGTTGGGAGACCCCCACGTAGCAGAATGCAAAGGGTTTTCCTCTGGGGCCGTCAGTTTTTGAAAGAAACCATTTGTTGCCAGTAGGGATGGGGAAGACTCAGAGCTGCCCCAGAGGATGAGCAGTGCGGGAGGGGCTCGCTCCCTTACAGGCTCCCAAGGAGACCGTCTTCGTCTTTCTGTGGCATCCTAGGTCTGGGGCCTCCCAGCCCACTGCCTTTCAGTCACTGCCCTGCTATTGATTCACTCATTCAATATTTTTCAGTACCTGCTACGTGCCACACTATTCTATTCTAGACTCTGAAACAGCAGTGAATAAAGTAAAACCCCTGCACTAGTGGGAGAGAGTAAAGATGCTAAGTGTGGGGAAAACCAAAACCAGGGAAGTGGGTGCTGCAGTTTTGAGTAAGGGACCCGGTGCAGGTCCCACTGAGGTAACATGTGAGCAAAATCTCAACTCTCGTTTCCTCTCCCATGTCCCTCTCTGCGGAGAACTTAGACTTCTGACTCCTGATGTGATGAATGGGCTCCTGGGACGGAAATGCATGTGCTCACCCTTCACCTTCCCTGGGAAGGCCTCTTCCTGACTCCCATGGTGCATCTGGGCCCAGTGTCGTTGGGATGGGCCGTGAAGGGCTGAGCACAGGGTGCCCGCAGCCAGACAGGGAACGGCGTCCCTGATGGGAGTAGGGAAGAGGCTTTCCCTCCAGCAGGAGGAGGCGGAAAGGAGCCCAGCACGGGAGTGAGGCTCACAGCCTCGGGTGACTCTGGGCAGGTCACTGCCCTCTGGGCCTCCTTAGTCAAGGATAACATGAAGGGCCAGGTCTGATTCACCCCCCGCCCTGCCCCCACCCTCCCTCTCCCACAGCAGGCGTCCGGGACAGCCGGATGGCAGCCCCAGCTGAGAGCTCCCAGTGACTCAAGGGGGGAAGGGCGTGAAGCTGGAGTTCGGGGTTCTTCCAATCCTGGCAGGGGTCGCGTCAGGCTCAGAGCATTCTGAGAACCCTCTGGGAAGAACTTGGGGATGGCCTGGGGCCTTCCCTAATCATGTACCTCAAGGTCCAGGGCAGTGGTTCTCAACCTTCTGGCCCTTTAAATACAGTTCCTCATGTTGTGACCCAACCATAAAATTATATTCGTTGCTACTTCATAACTGTAATGTTGCTACTGTTATGAATCGTCATGTAAATATCTGATATGCAGAATGGTCTTAGGCGACCCCTGTGAAAGGGCCGTTCAACCGCCAAAGGGGTCGCGACCCACAGGTTGAGAACCGCTGGTCCAGGGGCCTGGTTTCAGGCATGGCTGGCTCCAGGAGCTCAAGAGAGATTCCCAGGGCTATGTCGCCGTCTCCCAAGTCCGCTTTCCTGGGTGCTGGGAGGCCTGTTTCCTCCTGGTGCTCCAGCAGCTCAGCAATCCCAGGAGAAGGTGCATGGGCCAGCTTGGGCCACAAGTCTTTCCCTGACGGGGACTGTGGCTGCGGGGGATGGAATGCTCAGTTGGCCAGGCCTGGGTCCGTAGCCACGCCACAGCTGGAGCCAGCCATCCCCATAAGGGTGCTGCACAGGGAGAAGCGACGGGCACCCACAGGTGTCCGCTGAGTTTCTTGCCTCTTGACCTAAGTCCCTATGAGCAGAGCACAGTGAGGAAGAGCTGGACTTGGGCTCCGGAGACCAGAGCTCAGGTTCTGACTCAGCCTTACTCAGTGGGTGGCCTCAGGAGGTCGCCGGCCCGTTCCACACCTTCCTTCGCTGCAGAGCCTGCGATGGAAAGGGGCTGGGCTGGAGCAGAATGTGGCTTCTGTGCAAGGGGTGTTGCTCCATCCTCCCGCCTCTTAAGAGCAGGGCATTAGCAACTCTGGCCTGGACTTGGGGTGACAAAGACCACCTCCCCCTCCTCCAGGCGCTCAGGGCTTGGTCACACCTCCAGGCCTTTGCTCAAGCTCCTCCAGCTGCCGGAGGCTGGTGCATCTAACAATTCCTATTTGGTTTTCAACAAACAGCGCATCCTCCCTGCAGCCCCCACCCTCCCCCCTGATGGCCCTCTTGGCTCCCCTCCCTGGCGTCCCAGGGCCGGCCCGGCCCAGCTGGGAGAGTCAGTAGTGCACACCCTTTCCCAGTTCCATGTGTGGCCATGACGTTGGTGCTTGAAGTTGGCCATGGTGGACGTATTTACACCGTGGAAATGAGCAAACGCTACAAATCGGGCTTTATTGAGGGCCTCCTATGTAGCAGACAGGAGAAAGCAGTGAACCAAATAGTCCTTCCCTCGTGGAGCATCTATTGGCTCCATCACCTTTGTCTCTAGCATGTTTATCTCCATCCACCCATCGAACTGTTCCTCCAGCTTTTGCATCTGTGTCTCCATCACTTATCCATATTCACCCACCAATGTGCCTGGAGGTCCAGCCACCATCCAGCCATCTGGCCTCCTCCTACACCTCCATGCTCCCAGGTGGGCCGCTCCTGTCTTCGTTTTGCACCCGTGTGTATGATCTGAGCTCCGTCCAAGATGGAGTCAGTCAAGAGCTATGTCTGGCTCAGGCCAGAGCCCTGGTCGGACCCCGGGACCTGGCGTCAGTCAGCCCCAGAGGCTCCCCTCCCCCTTCCCCTCCCCCTTCCCCTCCCCCAGCACACAGCTGTGTGTGTGGAGAGCTGAGCAGCTGCACTAGGGGACCAGGTGGCTCCTAGAACCTGTTGCCCCCAAGGGGGTGAGAAAACCACAGCCCACCTTGGCTCAGGTGTCTCCAGGGTGATGGTGGGGTGGTGAGGGCTGTTCACACATATGCAGGAGCTGTGGTTTCACATTTGTGCTGCCATCGAGCCACAAACAGCCTAATCCAGGTTAATAATGTTCTAGAATTTTCCACACCACGGACTCGTGTATTCTCTCAGCGACTTTTCCCAACCGCTCAGTTTTACAGATGAGTCACAGAGAAGCTTTCAGATGGACCAACGTGTACTCAGACTTGCCCAAAAGGAGAGACGAGCCAGAGCTGTCTGCTTGAGGCCTGGCCCTGCAGCCGGCCTGACGGGGGGGAGGGTGACAGGCGGGGGTCCCAGTGGGGTTCCAGGCTGGGTGGGGATTCCCCTCAGGGCCCTGGAGTGGCCTCTGAGTCACCTCCCAGCTGCCTTCGCCATCCGGATGGTCTTGAAAAGTCACCTCTAAAGGTCAAGGCTCTTAGGGGAAAACAGCCCATTTTCTTTTAAAAAATACAAGTGTATAGAGTGCAATATGCAGCGTTTGTGTCACCGCCTGTGCAAAATGATGTTCAGGACATGCCTTCAAGACATGGCTGAGAACTGTTTTCTTGGCTTCTTAATTCACATTTCATCAGACGTACAAGTCATCAGCAAGAACGTGACTCCCCTAACTCCGCAAGGAGCACATGAGAGTGCTGTGTCCTTCCTGCCAGCTCCCGCTGCCCCGTCCCCACCCTGAGTGCCAAGGGGGTCCCTGGGCCTGTGCCCACCCTGTACCGAGCACTCGGCACAAGGCCCAGCACGCACTGTGCTCAATAAATATTTCCTGGGCGCATAAAGGGAATTTAAATATGGGCAGAAAAACAATTTTTGGTGGGTGGGAGGCTGTCTGAAGAGACAAGGCTGACTGATTTTAAGCCCGGAAACACCTCTTACCCCCCCCCCCGCCCCCCGCCCACGCAGTGCCCCTCTGCAGGGTGGGGATGGCCACAGGCCCAGGCGGTGGCTGCTTTCTTGCCCCCACCCACCTTCAGCACAAGCCTCGGTCCCGCCTCAGAAGGAAGGAAGCTGACGTTTATTGAGGGTCTGCTCTGGGCTGCGCGCTAGGTGGGTGACTGCACTGATTTCTCCCCGAGGGCAGCGTGCCATCCACATGTCCAGATAGGAAGTCCCAGCCCAGAGCGGGGACCAGCACCCGAGGTGGCACAGCCAGGAGGCGTCAGAGTGAGGCTCAGACCTGGCTACAGGCCTCTCCCTGTCCCCGGGGCTTCACACCTGATCGGGAACAGTATGGCCTTCCTGCGGCTCCTGGAGGGGCCGGTCCCGGGGGCGGGGCTTGGTGTCTGTCACAGGCGTGTCCTGGTCCCAGGAGGCCCGTGGGCAGCACTGGACCCGATTCTCAAATGTGACCCAGGGGCCAGCCCATGTGCCCGGCAGGGAGGGAGGCTGCCGCCGTGTGCGCACCCGTGCGTGCTGCTCGCACACGCAGACACGCCGTGCGCCCTGAGCCACACACGCACAGCGTCAACTCCAGGCTCAGGGCCCTGGGAGACCAAAGGCCGCAGGCCTCTTCCCACCACAGCCCAGGCGCCCATGCCTCGCCGCCCGGGGGCACGGCCAGTTCTGAACAGCCGGCAGCCTCACTAGCTGCCCTGGGGCCCCGGCCCTGCAGGCGGAGGGGCCATGACCACCCACTGGCGCAGGTAGCTCCTGGGGGGCCCTTCGTCCCTGGGGCTGGAGAAGTCACACTCCACGGGGCTGCCGCAGTCAGAGCCTGCGAAGCCGCTGTCAAACGTGTCCATGTCCAGGCCGGCAGGGGGCGAGCCCGCCTCGCTGTCAGACACCCCTCCGGGTGGCCCACCCCCCCAAGGCGGCCCTGGCGCCCAACCCGCCTCATGTTCAAGGGGCAGCATCAGTTTGTCGAGGAGGCTGCCCAAGGGGGCCCCCAGCCCGGCAGGGCCACCAGCTGCAACGCAGCCACAGGACAGGACTGTGGCCCCAGGGCCCAAGAGCGGGTCCTCGGTGCCCGGGCCAGGCTCCAGGCCAGCGTCCAGGTTCAGGGCTGGGTAGCCATCTTCCCCACAGGTACAGGGCCAGGCGCACGGCTCCTCTGCACCCACCACGGTCACCGTGTCGATGGACACCAGGCCATAGGGCCGGTCCCCCTCCTGGCTGTAAGCTGAGCTGCCCGCACTGCCAGTGCAGGGGGCAGGGCCCCAGTAGCCCGGCTCGGGCTCGGGCTCGGGCTCGGGCTCGGGCTCGGGCTTAGGGGTGCTGTCAGTTTCCACCAGATCCGCCGGCGCGGGCAGCAGCGTGGTCTCCAGCCCCTGGACTGCACTCAGCGGGGGGCAGCAGTTGTACATCTCCAAGGGCGAGGGCACCCCTGGGCTCCAGGGGCCCAGGTCCAGGCTGGAGGCAGTGAAGGGCGTGCCCACCCATTTCTGTGAGAGAGAACGGGAGGGAGAGTCACGCATGGGTCGGGGCCAGGGAAGGTATAAACTCAGACCGTGGGCCACTCGGTGGCCTGCGGGGGCCAAAATACAGGAGACCCTGAGGTCTGAGTGACAGAGCCCCCACCTGCCCCTGTTTTATTTCTTAAAACCCAGCGTTCTCCTGTTTGTGTTCCCACTACAGCGGACACTCGGCCAGGGCACAATTCCCGGTTCTTCTGGTCACAGCTGCATCCCGAGGCTCACACAGTGCCTGGCACACAGTCAGTGGCCGAGAAATGTTTAACTGACTGAATGAGAGACCGCCAACTTGGAATGGCCTATGTGTGCACGGTGGCTAAGGGCTGTGGGGCCGCGAGGGACTGGGGCAGCAGCCCCTAAGCGCTGAGAATCCCCCTCTGGACACAGGGTCCCCATCCAATCAGCAGAGAGAATCCCCGAGAACTGGAATCTCCTCGATTTGAGCCTCTTGCCCCTGGAAAGCTCATCTCAGGACCCTGACGTGGCTGCCACCACTGCTTTGAAGTCGCTTCTCAGCTGTGTGGCCTTGAGCCAGTTACTTACTCTCTCTGGGCCTCAGTGTTCCCATCTGTGAAGTGGGCCTGCGCATAGGACCCACTCCTCAGGGATGCTGTGAGCATTAAGTGAGTTAATATCTGCCCAGGACACAGTGAGTGCTATGAGTACTGGCAAAATGGATACAAAATAGAGGTGATATCGGAAGCTCTGGGAAGGAGCAGAGGGAAGAGGAAGGGTCCACCCACGTGGGCTGGAGTCCACGCTCCTCCCCTCCCCAACGAAAGCCACTTCTGCGATCTGAGCAGGGTCTCCTCACAGTCCCGGAGGGTGGAGCGCCCACCCTGCAGGGGCTGCGGGGAAGGTGTGGGGTGGAGCCCAGAGCGCTCAGCGCAGCTCCAGGCAGCTGGCAGGAGCTCAATCAAGGCGCCAGCCCGCATTTCCTGACTTCCAGGCTCCTCCCGCCCCGCCTCACCACATCCTCTCCGGGGGAGGCCCCTCCCGCCACTGAGGGTGGGTGTTGAGCGGTAAATGGGCCCAGAGAACCGTGGGCGCCGTGGTGGCTGTGGTGGTTGAAGCTTGGCAGGGGGTTTGTGCATTTTGCAGGCAGGTCCCTCCCTTTCCACCCTCACACCAGGACATCTAAGACCTAGAAAGCCAATTTGTGGCCCCAGGGTGCACCTGGCCCAACCCACCCCCAGCTGGCTCCTGGGGCTGGGAAAGGCTGCATGATCCTGACGAACTCTGCCCCGGAATTACTTCCTGCACTTGGCAGATGCCAAGACCGAGGTCTGGCTTCTGGCCTGGCTGGGCCTGCAGCTGGGGCTGGGGCTGGGGCTGGGGCTGGGGCTGGGGCTGGGCTGCAGCTGGGGCTGGGGCTGGGGCTGGGCTGCAGCTGGTGCTGGGGCTGGGGCTGGGCCTGCAGCTGGGGCTGGGGCTGGGGCTGGGGCTGGGGCTGGGGCTGGTGCTGGGGCTGGGGCTGGGGCTGGGCCTGGGGCTGGGGCTGGGGCTGGGGCTGGGGCTGGGGCTGGGGCTGGGCTGCAGCTGGGGCTGGGGCTGGGGCTGGGGCTGGGGCTGGGGCTGGGGCTCGGCCTGCAGCTGGGGCTGGGGCTGGGGCTGGGCTGCAGCTGGGGCTGGGGCTGGGGCTGGGGCTGGGGCTGGGGCTGGAGAGGGTAAGAGGTGTCAAGGGCTGGCCGGGTGGGGCTCTCACCTTGAAGTTCCCGCTGTGGCTCACATACAGGTGCTGGAAGAATGGCTCTGGGCTGGGCACCTGCACCCACACCTTCCACAGCCTGGGAGGGCAGAGAGAAGGTAAGCCCCCCGGTCTCACGGAGGGCAGCCCAGCCTCCCCCTCTTTGTCCTACAGGACACACCCAAGTGCCTCCTTTCCACCCCCCCTCCCCCACCTGCCCTGAGCCACAATGTCCACATCTGTAAACTGAGGCAGCGAGTCGCCCACGGCTCCTGAAGGCACGAGGGCTCCGCCGCCCTTTGTGTGCTTGGTGAGCGCTGCCCCTCTGAGCCCCGACTCCTCCTCTAGGGCCAGGTGGGCAAAGGGCCGGCTCCTCGGGGCTGTGGGGGATTCGGGGCGCACCCGGCACCAGGAGCCCCCTGAGCCACGGCGCCGCCTCTGGCTCTGGCTCGGTCTCTAGACCGAGAGGACCAGGACGCACTGCCACCCGGCGAGGCCCCAGCATAGCCGGCCGTGCTCGGAGGCTGGGGAGCCCATGCTGGACTCGCCTTCAGCAGCACCTTCTCTCAGGGACCACGCTCAGCAGAAACCAACACGTAACAAATAAAAGCAAAACCTCGGGTTGAGGCGGGGGGTGGGGGGGGTGGTCACCCCACCTGGCAGTCCCTCGTGCCCCCCAGGTCAAAGCTTAGAATTCCCTGACACAATCACAGCTGAGGCCACTGTTCAGAGCACAGGGTTCAGCCCGGCCGGTGGCTCAGTGGTTAGAGCGTTGGCCCGCACATCAAAGGGGCAAGTCCCGGTCAAGGCCACACACCTGGGTTGCAGGTTCGATCCCCAGCCCCGGTTGGGGCATGTGTAGGAAGCAACCAATGAGTGTGTCTCTCTCCAAGGATGTTTCTCTCTCTCTCCCTCCCTCCCTCCCAGCCTCCCTCCCTTCCACTCTCTAAAAATTCAATGGAAAAAGGATCCTCCGGCGAGGATTCACCAAAAAACAAAGAAAAAGAGCACAGGGCTCAAGGTCCTCCTTTGTTTCACAGCCGTGAATCGGGCAGCGTCCTTGCCGACTCGGTGCCTCAGTGTCCGGATATGTCGAATGGAGGTCACTGCCTGCATCCAGCTCACGGGGCAGCTGTGAGGGCTGAGTGAGCGCCCAGCACGGAGGAAACCGGGAGCTGGTCATTGTCACCACCCCTGTCATGACCACCGTCTCCATGACCGGCGTGCCCCAGCCCGGGCGAGTCACAGAGGGGCTGTGGCCCAGGCTGACCCCATCCCCCCCACCCTGAGCCCCTGGCCTCACCTCCAAGGCAGGCGGATCTTCAGACCTAAGTAGACAAGGATGGGGAGCGTGAAGACCAGGAAGAGATAGAGCAGGTCCGTGTGCCAGCCTGCCTTGAGCTCTGGGAAGAAGCACATAGTGGGTCACATGGAACCCACCTGTACAGAGGCACGTGGCGTGGGGTGGTGGGCAGGGGTCTGGGTGGCGGGGAAGGGGCTGGGAAGGCTTCGGTGCCTTGAACCCCCACCCACCCCCACCCTGGGTAAGTGACTTTATCTGCTGGGCCTCAGTTTTCTCATCTACGAAATGGGGCTAAGGATGCTTACTTCACAGACTGATAGGGAGACGCACAGCCTGGCAGGAGAGGCCCCTGGCACCCCACGCAGGGCCTGGCAAGCAGGGCTCCTGAACTGTCAAATGGCTACTCCTGGGATATGGCTCAGCTGCGTGGATACCTTGCACCACGCTGGACGTCTCAGGGCTCAGGACAAGGCTTGGCACCAAGAGTGGGCGTCCACCCAGCTTCACACCTACCTTCTGGCTGGGTGCGAAAGAGGACCGGGTCGCTCCACTCGCTCCAGGCCCCCTGGAACGAGGAGCCGGGCTGGGGCCCCGCCCGCACCTGCAGCTCATAGCTGGCGCCTGGGTGGAACTCCAAGGGCAGGAGGGAGACGCTCCTGACGTCCACTGAGATCAGCTTCCTCCCCGGACTCTGCCAGCACAGGGGAAGGATGCACTGTCAGGGTGAGCAGGCGGCCCTGCCTTCACCCCCCTGCCTTCAGCAGAACCCCACCCCCACCCCCAGCCCTCTCCTGGGGTCTGCACTCCCTGCCCGAGAGCCAGGCCCCAGCTGGAGTTCTGGCCACTCCAGTGTGGGCAGCGCAGAGCCATGGGCACGTCTCGGCCTTGCCCAAGTCACGATGCTTTGTTCATGGCTCTCTGACCCCACAGCAGGGGACCCTCCCTGCTGGGACTGGGGCTGCCCCCGGAGCAGCAGCGGCCACTCCTGGCAGTGCTTAACGGGCAGCATTCCAGACAGCGGGCATTCTCCACAGCGGGCATTTGAAAGGCTCCCACCACAGGCTTCTCAGCTGTGGAAACCTCGGGAGTCTTCCACGGGGACAGACTAAACATGAAAACCTTCAACTGGGGCCATTCTAAAGGGTAGAGAATGCTGGAGCCCTCCTAACAGCGGCCATCTGGAACCCTCTGACACCTAGACAGAGGACACCGCTGGCCCTTCGGCTTGGAAACAATGTCCTTCTGACCCTGGACCTTTTGGTTATGGAAGCTTCCGGAACTCCTAAACTGCAGCCGGCCGTCCTAAGCGAAGTGGGACGGTTCCAAACCCCCAATTCTGAAACAACTACTGTCGCTAGACGCAAGGCGGGACCTGCAGAGGTGCCAGCCCCTTTTCTGGCAGCTGGTAGACAGGACCCAGGAACGGGAAGGAAACAGGGGTAAGGGGTCTCCTACCCCAGGGAGAAGGGGAGAGGGCAGCATGAGAGCGTGTCAGGGGAGCTTCATCCTGGGTGTGTCCTGGGTTTCCATTCTTGGCTGTGAATAACCACCTCAGTGGTCTCCCGGGCGCTCCCCCCCCCCCGGCCCCCCCCCCCCCGCCAGCCCGCTCATTCTCTGCAGTCTCACCTGCGTCCAGGGGTCTCCCCGCTTCCTGTACCGCAGCTCATACTGCAGTTTGCCCTTGAGCGCGTACGAGTCGTAATCGGAGCTCCAGGAGATGTTATAATGTTCTGAGAAGGTCACGGTCACGTTGAAAGGAGGAGACAGCTTGACTTAAAGAAAAAAGCCAGAAAGATAAAATGGGTGAGATTTGTATCAGCTGGACATGCCCTGGTGGCCCATCCTTTCTGTGACCAGGACGAGTGGCTGGGTGAAGCTTCCCCTGTCTCCGGGCCTCAGTTTACTCATCTGAAAAATGGACTGCTGTGGGGTTGCAAATTCAGAGGCGGCAGGTGACAGATACGGTGAAGCAGGTGTGGGCACTGAACTATAAAGAGCCCTCCCAGTGCACAGGGGCCGGGCAGGAGTGCAGACCAGGGTGGCCAGGAAGGAAAAAACCGGAAAGCCCAGATTATTGCAGGAAATCGCTCAAATGTTAAAGTTAGCCGCTGATCCAGGCCTTTCTAAGCTCCCTGATGGCCACGCCCACAGGTTCTCTAGTCCTGCTGTCAGTGAGGGCGTCAGTGAGCCCCTTCGACCCTGAGAAGGCAGAGGACTCTGATCAGCGAGGGCTGATGACTGCTCTGCAGACCTCGGCTGCAGTGAGTGTCCTGCTGTGGCGGGAAGCTACCGGCTGAGCAGCCGGACCGCAGTGGCCGAGAGTGTGACCGCCCTCACCTCACAGGCACCTCCCGGAAAGTGTAAGCGTGGCGATCTGGACCACACACACGCGGCCCCGGGGCCCCTCCCAAATCTGCTTTCAACCTGAGCAGGGCACCCACAGTGCGTGCCTTCATGTCCTCTCTTGGAAAAGGGAGTCGGTTCCTATCACACAGAGTGAAAATTCATGGACCAAGCTAAGTAGAGAAGGAGGGCACGTCAGGGAAGCCAGTGGCAAGTTGCTCCTGTCAGAGGGAAGCGGGGCCTGTGCCCGCACCCGCCTTCTCCGGGCTGCTGGCCACCCCCTCTCTGGGATCTCAGCTCCTTGGGGCAGAGGGTTAGTTCTCCGGGGTCAGTGCTGTGCCTGCACCTCTGAGGACAGAGTCCAGCTCACAGTAGGCCCTCACGAAATGCCTGTTAAATCCAGGTGTTCCAAAAGGAGCTCTGAAGCTGCCTCCAACTCTGCCCCACTGCCTGAGGTGCAAGAAGGCGCACATTCACGCCGTGCTGAGTGCTTTGTGGTGGTTGCTCTCTCAGCCACCGGTCCCTCTGAACTGGAATCGTCCCTAAGCCCTCCTCTCTCCTCCCAGGCCGGCAGGGGCCTGGTTGACAGCGTCCTTGGGGCCTGGCTGGCTGGTAAGGACCAATTCACGGGGGAACTCAGCTCGGGAGAGGCTGGCGCAGCCCAGGGCCCAGGAGGACCAAGGGGCCAGGGAAGGCTGCCCAGGGACAGGAGACTGCCTCCTCCTCCGCTGAGCACAGGCCTGGCCTCAGACCCTGGCAGGAGGGGGGAGGGAGGGCAGGAGAAATGCCAGGAGGAGGGGCAGCCCTGCCCTGTGCCCTCCTCTGCCTGCCCAGCTCTCAGGGAGATAGGAGGGCACCCCTGCTTGGTAAACCAACACACCTGGATCTAAATGGCTGAGTGTGCATGTGTGTAGGCATGTGCATGTGTGTGCGTGTGTGTGCATAAACATGAGAATGTGGGCATCTGTGTCCGTGCTGTCTAGGCCAGGGGTTGAGGGGGTTTATGAGTGTGAGTGTGTCCGTGTGTGTGTGTGTGTGTCCGTGTGTGTCCGTGTGTCCGTGTGTGTGTGTGTGTCCGTGTGTGTTCGTGTGTCTGTGTGTCAGTGTGTGTCCGTGTGTGTGTGCACGCGTGCAAGTCTGGGTGTATCCGTGTGTGTGTCCATGTGTGTGTGCACACGTGTGAAAGTCTGGGTGTGTCTGTCTGTGTGTGCATGTGAAAGTCTGTGTGTGTCTGGGTGTGTGTGTCCCCGTGTGTGTGTGTGTGCGCACGCGTGTGAAAGTCTGGGTGTGTCCGTGTGTGTGCATGTGTGTGTCCATGTGTGTGTGCGCACGTGTGAAAGTCTGGGTGTGTCCGTGTGTGCGCGCATGTGTGTGTCCATGTGTGTGTGCACGTGTGAAAGTCTGGGTGTGCCTGCGTGTGTGTGAAGTTTGCTCACATGCTCTGTGGTGTGACATCCACTCAGCAAAGTGGTGCAGACCTGGACCCCAGAGTGCGAATGACAGACACCTGCATGTCCCCTGCCCCTCCACTGGGGCCCGGGAGGCAGACACTGCCAAACCGCAGGCCTGCGCCCTCCCGAGGGCGGGATTCTCTTGGCGGTTCGTTTCTGCATGCCTCTGGGGACAGGCCTCTCACTCCCTACCTGGACACCCCACTTTGCGCTCACATCACACTAAAAGCTGCCTCCGGCCCCTTCCCTGCCCCACCCTGGCTCTGGACCCACAAACACAACTGCTTCCACCAGCCAGGTCCCTCTGTCCCTGGGCCTCCTCCCTGCCTCCTGGAGCTAACGATGGGAGGAAACTTGGGGAGGTTTTCTCTTGTGACTCAGTGTCCCCCACTTGCCTCACACTGGGAGAGAGTCCCAGAGGTCAGAGTTAAAGGGCTCTCATTCTATAGTGCAAGGTCACGGGGCTGAACCAGAACGGCAGCCCCAGGTCCCGGTCCCAGATCTCCTTCACCCCCTGCTGCCTGTCTCTGGTTCAGGCTAGGCCCCGCTGCCTCCCCACACCTGGCAAACGCGGCATCTACAGGGCCGACCTCCAATGAGAGGCAGGGCGTGGGACAGTCAGTTTGTGGGGGCCAGGGGAGCCGGCCCGGGGAGCGTGGGGCCCAACCCCGCCTGAGTTCTCTTCCAAGGAGTACTCACGGCTCTCGGCCAGGACAAAGCTGCCACACTCCTGGGAGCGGTTGCCAGGCTGGTCTGTCATGTTGACACTGAAAATGTCGTCGGCCATGAAGCGGAACACATCCATGTGGCACGTGTATTTTGCGTGAGTGGCATTGTGCGCGGACCGGTGCAGGCTGCAAGAGGTGGCCTCATCCTCCAGTTCTCCGTAGGGGTCTTGCCTTCGAGGACAGAGCAGCCAGTCACGGCTAGTGGCCGGCGGGGCTCAGTGCACGGGAGGGGCTGGCGGTGGGGCTGGAGCTCACCTAGTCCCACCAACCTTCCCAGCGAAGGTTTACCCTCTCCTGGAGCAGCCCTGGTGGGTTGGTCCCGGCTCCGGGCTTGCACACCTTCAAGCGACCAGACTCACTCCGTCACTCAGAGCAGCAACTCTCAGCTGCAGAAATCGGGCCACTCTTGCCTGAATACATTCTACCTCTGACCCTGTCCCCTCCATCTCCTGGATCACTGTCCCATGGGAAGGGCGCTAAGCATTTCCGGCCTCCTTCCCACTCTCCTTCCATCCAAAATCCACCGAACACCGAAGCAAGAGCCACACGAAGCTCCATCCTGCTCTGGTGAACTTCCAGGGAGGTAGTTAATATGGGGTTGGGGGAAATGTGCTGGCTTTTTAACTCCCGCTGGGCAGAAACAATGGGTTTTGAAGGATGCATAGAAGTTCACCAGCTGTTTCCCCCTGCCTACAGATTCAGGCTCGGAGCATGGCCACCCCCAGGGCCAGTATGGACGTGTGGGTTCAGGCTCTGCTAAATGTTGGCTGGAATAGAAACGTCTCCTGAATCAATGCTCTCCAAGCCTCCAGCCTGGACACTGATGGCTGCCTGGTGGGGTCCTCGCCTTGCCCGCCCTCCCTGCGATCTCTTTCACTTGCACAGCAGCCAGGGGCCTTTAAGACTCCCCGTCCTCCCCTGCCTAGCACTCCGCAGTGGCTTCTCGCCGCCCACACCACAGAGCCGGCCGCCCACCCTCCCGCCTCCTGAACTCCCTGTTCCCCTCCACCTGGCTCCGCCCCCTCCGGCCACACCGACCTCCCCACCATGCCTCAGGCTCTCCCGCTCTCCCGCCTGAGCCCTTTGCACATGCAGTGCCCTCTGCCTGGACGGCCCTTCCCCAGCTCATCGGCTGCCTCCTCCTCACCCACAGAGGCTGCCCTGACCCCTTGGCCCTCCCCCACATCTCTGCTCTCTACCAGGGGGTCCAGCTTCCTGCTCTTGACAGCGCTCATTGCACTCAGAAAGCATCCTGCTGGCTGCGTGCGTGTGTGTCCGTGTGTGTGCGTGTGTGTCTCACCAGCCACTCCCGCTGCGTGTGTGTGTGTGTGTGTGTGTGTGTGTGTGTCACCAGCCACTCCGCTGCGTGTGTGTGTGTGCGTGTGTGTGTGTGTCACCAGCCACTCTGCTGCGTGTGTGTGTGTGCGTGTGTGTGTGTGTGTGTGTGTCACCAGCCACTCCGTTGCGTGTGTCAGCTCCAGGACACCTGGGACCGCACGGCTGGGCCTCTGCTGAGTCACTAGTGCCTGCACGTGTCAGGCAGGAGTTTAATCAAAGTGCCCGTGTGAATGGATGATGAGTGGGTGATGGCAAAGTCTCTCCTTGACCACACGCTACGCAGGCTCCTCTGAACTCTCCTCACCGTGGCCCTGACTTTCGGGTTTCCGTGTCTGTCTCTGCGTCGTCTACTTTGAGCAAGACTCCTGCTAAGTCGGTCCAGCCGGAAGCCCCACCCTCAATGCCAAAGTGGGTTCCTCCTCCTCCACCAGCCCCCGGTGGGGTCTGGGCCCCCTGGGCTGCCTCAGCAGGAGCCCTGTTAGGTCAGCTTAGCCCGGAGCCCTCGGACCCCTGGTGTTCCCTCCTCGTGGTTCCCTGCGCTGACCCACCCTGCTCCTTGGCTATAAACCCAGCTTTTCCTTGTTGTGTTCCGAGTGGAGCCCAATCAGCAAAACCCTGTGCAATGGCCCTACCCTGCCACTATGGTCTCTAATAAAGTCTGCCCTACCGTTCTTGAACAAGTGTCATGCATGATTTTTTTCTTTAACAATATGGACTTATAAGGACCCGTGGAGTTTGGAGTCAGGCTGCCTGTGTTTGAAACCAGGTCCGCCATTCACTGGCTGTGTGACCTCAGGCAAGTTGCATAACCTCTCTGAACCTCAGTGCCCTCACTTGTAAAATGAGAGTCATAATTGTGAGGACCGGAGGTGGTCATTCATGTGAAGCACATGGCGGGCTGCCTGGCATGAACTAAGTGCTCCGTGTGGCAGTCCGGTCACCTCGGCATCTCAAAACCATAGTCAGGCCTGCGTGAGTGACAGAGAACGGCCTTAGAGCTGGACAGAGCTTTCCTACGCCTCTCAGACATTCTCTGCACAAGTCCCATGAGCCCTGGGTGGTCGTCTGCAAGATGGGCACAGTGACTCCCATCTCACAGTCTTTCTTGGGGTGAAACCAAATGCTGTGGGTGAAGTTGCTGAGTGAGCCCCCAGGAAGCGGCAGCTCTTGTCTTTATTGCTAAACTACCTATCTGGCACACAGTAGGTCCAACTCAGCTCATGGTCTCCTGCGGTCCTGTCCTGGGACCAGGCTCCCTGAGGAGCACTCCTAGGGCCGGTGAGGCCCAGCCACTTACCAGGTGAGGGTGAGCATGCTGGGGTGGGGGGTCCACGTCTCCAGGAAGCAGGTGACCGTCCGGAAGTAATCGGTGTAGCAGACAAGGTCTGAGCATCCCCAGGCTGCAGGGCGAGGGAGAGAGAGGCCTTGGTAGGGGTTGGGAGGGGCTGCAGAGCTCCCCGCTCCCTCAGCCCGTCCAGGGCTGGAGGATGAGTGGAGGCGGGTCCCAGGGCCAGGATGAATACGGCGAGTCAGGGGCCACCAAGATGTGGGACTGAGGCAAGGAGGTCCTGTCCCCTTGTCTGAGATTCCTTGTCTGAGCCCCCAAAGTTTCAATGCCAGCCACGGGGACAAGACACTCCTAATGAGACAGAATTAACTAAGTGGGTCATAATCTACATTTTGCTCCATATTTAACAAAATAAACGTAATAAGTTTTAGTTTTGTTTTATCAGATCAAGTGCCAGTGCTGCTCTCCCCCCTCCCTCCCACCATTTACCAGAAATGTGATCCCCTGTTTAAGTAGCTTCATCTTCAATGGCTTTTCCTTACTTTCCCGGGACTCATGGGGACCCGGGTCAGAGGCTGGGCTCGGAGCCCGGAGCACCGCTCTGGGAATTCCGGGCGTCCGCCCTCCACACACAGGCAGGCAATGCTGGTGGACAGGACACTCCCTGGGCGCGGCCTCAGGGGCCTCCCGCGGCCGGGGCTGGGAAATGACTCGGGCTCTAGGCTCCCCTCTGGGAGGAGGCAGGCCTGCCCCGGCACTTGTGGAGAATGGGCACTGCTTTGGGATGGAGGTGACATCGGGGACCAGAGGGAGTGAAAACCCGGCCACCTGGGCCGAGAGCCCCGGGCTGTCCCTGGCCTGCGGTTACCAAAGCGTGGACACGTGCCTCAGGCCACTCGCGCCACTACCTGTCACGGGGACCTGGTCCCTGGAGGGTGTGGAGGTGAGCATGTGCTGTCTGTCACACGTGCAGCCCGTGCTCGAGGAAAGCAGCCAAGCCAGGTGACCACGGGAATCAGCACACCTGTGGCCTGGCCCCAAGGCTGCCGCTGCCCGTCGTGTGGCCGTGGCCTGTCCCTGACCCTCTCGGGGCCAGTTTTCTCAACTGAGAACCGGGCGGCGCTCGGCCTGGGCCTGGTGGGCTGTCAGGAGCATGGGCTGAGATGGCGCTAGGCACCATGGATAGCGGGGCTCTCTACTGGTGCCCACAGGGGCGGTGCTGTGGCGGGTACCCGAAGGCCTGTGAGAGCCAGGGCAGAGTGGGCCTTGCTCAGGACGGGAGCCTGACACCTGTTTGCTGAAGGAGCTGTTCGAGGCTCTGGGTCTTTAAGGAAAAACAGAGAGAAATGCTGATGGTCAGCGAGTGGCTGAAGGGCCCCCTGCCCCCACCCAGCCCCATTGGAGCCTGGGTGCTGCATCGCCCCTCCTCTGGGAAGGCCTCCTGGATCTCAGCCCTGGCCGTGCCCCGTGTCTAACTCCTGGCCTTCCCCAGCTCCGTGTCTGACATTCCCCCCGGCACCCCCACCAGCTGCAGCTTCTCCAGAACCTTTAAGGTTCTGCTACTTTGGTCCTCACCCCCTCTTCCTCACTGGGAGCATCAGTGCCTGAGGGCAGCCTGGTGATGGTTGGAGAACTTCCCCTAGGAGATGAGGTGGGACCAGAGGCAGACTTCCTCACGGCGGGGGGAGGGCCTGGGAGGTGGGGTCGAAGCCTGCCATGGCAGGGCCACGGGAATGCAGGGTGCGGTCTCCCAGGGCCCCAGTGAGCCTCAAAGACCAAGCTAGGGCCGGGCTGCTTGGACCTGCCCGAACCTGGCTAATGAGGCGCTCTGGGTGGGTGAATTCTGGTTCGTGGAGAGCTGGCGGCTCCCCCTGTGTCCGCCTCGAGTGGACACGTGCCATGGACTCTGACCCAGAGCCCACAGGCCCGCCCACCCGCCCGCCCGCTGCAGAGGCGGGCCAGCTACTCACCGCCCTGGAGCAGCAGCAGGAGCAGAGGGGCGGCCCAGCCACGCGGCATGCTGACTCCGGGCCTGCAAGAGACGCACAGCAGACGGTGGGCCCCCGCCTGGGGATCAGGGGACCCTGGACAGCCTCCCTCTGGTCCCCATCCCTCCCTTGGAAGACTTGCCTCAGATTCCTGGATGTGTCTCAGGAAAACAAGATTTTGAGGAGCCCAAGGACACCCCCAAGAGTTCCTGCCCCTTGGAAACAGCTCCCCCGTGGGCCCCCCTCCCACTTCTCCCACCTTCTTCCTGTCCCCCTTACACAGCCACAAGTGACAGGTGAGTTCAAAGAGGGAGGGACTCGCTGCTCTCCCCCACACACTCAGTCCACACTGTGGGGGGGGGGGAGGTTAAATGTGGGCATTTACGCAGCTGAGGAGGAAGGAGCGGGGCGGGGACGCTGGTTTGGAAAGTGATATTCAATGAGCAGCAATCTTGGGTGCCCCCTCCCATAAGACACTTGTGTTGACATGAACCTTGTAAATTGTCTCCTCACTAAACAACGAATCTAAGATTCACCCACAAAGGAGACCCCGACTGGGTCCCGAAGATAAGGTTCGTCCCATGAGCCTTTACTCAATCCAAAGCCCAGGCTGCCCATGAGGCAGCGCCCTGGAAACCCAGACCCCGCCAACCAAAGGGGACCTGGGCGCCCCGGTCTAGGTGAGATGGAGAAGAGACCTTTGTGGAGAACAGCAAGCCCATCCAGGAGGAGTGGACTCTGGTGCCCTTGACAGAGGAACAAGCCACCAGGCTGGCAGTGCCAGTCTTGCCCATTGCACCCCCAGTTCTGTGTCTGCTTGGGAGGTGCCAGCCAGAGGCCAGTGGGCCCGCCTGCCAGGCCAGGATCCCCACCCAGACAGGGGAATGGCTGGAACTGGAGCCTACAGGGATGATCCATGCAGGGAGCAAGTCACACACCTGGCTTCTTCCAGACCATCCCTGAGCCCACAGCGGGACCCTTCCCCCCCCACACACACACACACCGGGGTTCCCAAGATCCTTCTCCAGCCCCATCAAGAGCTCGCTCTGAGCTCCCTTCCAAGTCCCAAGTAGTCAGCCGCAAAGGGCACGGAGAGGGTCAGATTACCAGCTGTGTGGCTCTGGGCCAGTCACTTGCCCTCTCTGAGCCTTGCAGGAAACAGTAAAGCCCACTTCCAGGATTCTTGTGAGAATTCAGAGTGATTTGCATGCCCCTGACACCCAAACACTCAACAATAAAGAGCCCTGATTAATACAGAATTTAAGCTTCAGAAATGAAGGAATTCCAGAAGGACCTAGCCAAGAGCTCCCCAAATGTCTCACTTTCAAAATGTTGGCCATATTTGCAGATCATTTGTTTACTTAATGTTTTCTATAAATGAAGTTACTTACAAAATTAATCCCAACCTCATCCTAAGCAATAATCTCCATAGTCGTGCAATTTTCCCAACACACGTTAAAATGAATAACGTTACTATTAAAATACGATAGCCCGGCGGTGTAGCTCAGTGGTTGAGCGCCGGCCCATGCACCGGGAGGTAGCTGGTTCAATTCCTGGTCAGGACACATGCCCAGGTTTCAGACTCGATCCCCAGTAGGGGGCGTGCAGGAGGCAGCTGATGGATGTTTCTCTCTCATCGATGTTTCCATCTCTCTCTTCCTATCCCTTCCTCTCCGTGAAATCAATAAAAATTGTGGGTTGTTTTTTTAACAATAATGTTGGGGGAAACCCCTCATAAAGCTGCTTTGAAGCACATTGACCTGGCCCCAAGCCCAGCAGCAGTCCTGTTACCACACTTGGAGGACTGGACCTCCCACCACAGGAGATGGAGCCAGACCTGCGCCTCACTGGCGTGTCCACACCTGGGCCCCAGCCCAGCACAGGCCCTGCATCGCTCTGCCCCACCCCTCCCCAGCAGCTCTGCCTTGCCTGCAGGATGAAGCACAAATTCCTTCACCCAGATCCAAGGTCCCCTCGGCCAACATGCCTCAGGTCTACACAAATGACACCCAGGCCTGGGGGTGATGGGGAGCTGCTGCTCTGTCCGCCTGGCCTCTCTGCCCCTCTTATGAGGCACTCCTCCAACTGGCTGGGACTCCCGAGGGTGGGCACCTGGCCCAGGCCGGGCCAGCAAAGCACCCACCAGCCTAGCCGCAGGGACCCGGTCAGAATGGGCAGCAGCCCGGGCATGCCCGTGAGAGCTGTCCTGGGAATTTTCTAGAACTCTAATTGAGAGGGACTTTGGGGGTGCCCACTGGACGCTGGTGCCCGTCTCTGTCACCTACTACAGAAAGGTTGCCTGGAAATGAGGCCAGTACAGAGCGATACAGACTAGAGCCCCGGGGCTTCATTTAGGACCCGGATCCAGCCGTACGTGAAGTCCAAGCCTGGACTCTTCATTTACATAAGCCGGGGGTGGGGCGGGGAACCTGTTTTGCTCAACCATGTGGAATTATGCTTCTGTTGCTTGCCACCAAAGAAACCTGATACAGTGGGATAGAGTAAAGGGCCCAGGATTTGAAGCCAGAGGATCTTGGAGCTTTTCTGGGCCTTCACTCTCTGTCTTCAGTTCCCATCTCTAAAATGGGGACAATAATGCCCACGGCACCTGGCCGTGAAGGGGAGTCCGGGGGAAAGCAGACGGGGCAGTGCTCTGTGACTGCCAGCGACTATACGAGGGTGCTGGACTCCTGCTGTTACTGTCCCACTGATCGGAATTACTCAGAATCCTCCTCTCACCCCAGGCCCATCATGCCTCTCTGCCTTTGCATGAGGCAAATTCTCATGCCGTCTTCTCCTTGAACACCCTTTCCCCTCCCATCACTCTAGCCTCTGCCTTCACGGCCCACCTGCTTTATCCCTGCACCCAGGAAACCACCTTGAAATGTTCCAGAGCTCCTACCACTCACTGCAGTCAAGGTTTCCACCGTGCTGTTTTCTATTTGCCGTGTATCTTTATTTTACCTCCTGTTTCCGCGCCAATAAGCATGTCTTAAAGGAAGGTGCAATAACACTACCATTGACAGGTAATTAGCATGAAACGGAGAGGCAGTGTGTACCACAGTCGTTAAAACACAGACTTGGGGCCCGCGTGCCTTGGTTCAAATCCCAGCACTGCCGTTTGCACAGCTCTGTCCCGTCTCTCCCAGGCCTTGAGAAGTTTACTTCCTGGGCCTCGGGGTCCTCAGGGTGAAATGGAAGTAGTAATAGCAGTACTTGCATCATAAGTTTTTCACATTAAATTAGTCATTTGTAAAGCTTTTGGAACAAACCCTGGCACATAGTAGATGTTATCTAAGTGTTTCTTAAACGAAACAGTCAACTCACCATAAAACCAAATACAGCGAAATATGAAAACTAAATACAAGGAAAACAAAAGACAGTCATTGAATTTTAGGAAGATGCGACCCTGCTTAAGACTTAGGACCTGAGATTTTGTGTGCCTTTGTTTGAAAGGGGATGGAAGAGTGTCCGAGAGGCGTTTAAAACATCCTAGCACCAACCGAGATGCTCTCGCCTTCCGCCGTCAGTGGACGGAGAGAAGGTTGAAAAGGGTCTAACTCTTTCAGAGGGGCCCGGGGATGTTTACCACCAGCGGAAACAGGCCGCTCGCTTCTGGGAAACACCAGCCATGACCGATGGATGACGTCCTCTCCTCATGTTCCCACCCAACCGAGTGGGAACTCCCCCGCATCCCACTGCACTCCCTGCCCCGAATCCTCCTATTTATGGGACTTCTCACCCGGGCTCCTGAGGGCGACAGCAACTTACCTGCCAGCTGCACACCAGACCCAGGTAGGTGTGCTTCCTCAGCGCAGGACAGAGGGCGCCCTGCTGGGCTTCCTGCGAAGGGGCCCAGAGCAGCACCTCCCTGTGCAGCCTCCTGGAGAGGAGTGAGGAGCACCTGACACCTGGCCTGCCAGGTCCCAACTGGGTGTCCTTGGCCAAGTTCCTGACCCTCTGTTCTCGGTTTTCTCATCTATAAAATGGGGCCACGACTCTTGGCTACAAGTCTGTGGGAGCACCACCCGCCTCATTGCAGGTGGGGCGCTCCAGCACAGCCCTGGATGGCTGGGAGCCCTGGACAGGCGCTTGCGCACCAGGCCCCAGTGCCGAGAAGTGGTTTCTGGGCTTGTGGTAATGCAGCTTAAAAGTTGGCCAGATTTCAGAAGATTCTGAGGAAGTAGACCAGCCTGGGGGCAGAAAACAAGATTGAAGTAGCTGCTGTGGAGAATATAAAGTGGTTTCTTTCCCCGTCAACAGAGAAATGCAAATAAAAAGCACAGCGGCACACCATTTCAATGTTATCAATTGGCAAAACCTAGAGTCTGCCGACACCCGTGTGTAATGGGAACTCCCGTTCACGGTTATCGGAAATGTAAATTGATACAATTGGTCTGGAAAATAGTTTGCATGAGCTCATCAGCATGAGCAAGCACTTGCCGTGAGACCCAGCAATTCCGCCCCTACGGACATTACAAGGGAGACTCTGCCGCGTGTGTACCCGAAGCGCATGCAGCAATGTTTACAGCAGCATTGATTTTTAATAACGAAAAGCTGGAAACAACCTAAATATCCAACAGCAAGAGAATGGAAAAGTAAATAGCGGTAGAATTACTCAATGTGAAAATGAATCATAGCTTCACACCACAAAACAAATGACTCTCACAAACAAAATGCGAAATGAAAACAAGTTAGGAGCGAACACCATCCGTGGCACACTCTATATGTTGTTCAGGTGAACTTCCATGTGTCCTTACAAAGCAAAGAGGTGCCCAAGCAGATGATAAACATCAAACTTCAAATAGTGTAGAAAAGGAGGGGATGTGATGAAAAGGGGTCTTCAGGGGTCTCAACAGTTTGGTAAACCTGAGTGACGTTCCCATGGATGTTGATTCCTATATTATTCTTCATACCTTTTTGTATGTCCAAACTATTTCATAGCTTTTTAAATGTAAGTGCATCTTAAGTTTGTAAAGTAAAATGTGGAGGGGGACTTTCACTTCTGGCTACGATGGAGTAGCTGGTCTCAGACTAATTCCCC